GAGTCACTTTCTCCACTTTCCATGCGCATTCTGCGTTTCACAACTTGTTTTTCTAGCCGTGGCTCTATGGCTTTTTCTCCTTTCCTCTTTCCCCTCTTTTTGCTATTCAAATGGCAAATGCGGATCAGATATTTCTTCTGGGACGACTCCTTTCCCAGGCACTTTCGAAAATCAACCAGGCACAGCAAATCCAAGCCCACAACAGGTCTCTGCGCAAACGAGCTGCCGCCCCTGCCTTGTGTCCCTGCTGAGATTTGGAGGGTGGTTGTTGTTTTTTCTCAGAAGTGGGACACACACACACACACACACACACACACACGAATGTCACACACCCAAAGTGTCATTTCGCGCTGCGTTTATTGGTGCAGAGAGGCGCACCTTCCGAAATAAATAAAATCTGCTTTCCTGCGTGCAAGTCCCGCTGAGATCACTGGGACTTACTCCCAGGTAGGCGTCCCGAAGACGGCCCCCACCCCCCGTCCCACCACGCCGCCCTCGCATCCGAAATATTTAGATTTACCCTGGAAAGCAGGAAAATGTCTATTTCGTTGTAGAAAGAAATGGGAATGCTCAAGTGAAAAGTGTGAGGCGCTGCTTTAAAACAAACACCTGGACAAAAAGCAAAGGCCGTGATGAAACTGGCCAGCAAAGATACTGTTTTAAATTAAAACATACTTTGATTTCAATTTAGTACTTCCGTGTGTGTGTGTGTAAATCAATGCACTGTTTAGTTTTTGCTTTGGTAGGGGTCGGGGGAAGGAAATTTCCGTGATTTGACTTAGTTTCGATGGTTTGAGGATTCCTAAATTCTAACTAATGCTGGAAGATCCGTTTCCTCTTATAATTTCTATTTTTTTAGAAATTGGTTTTTCACCCTCAGGGAAAGGGGGAAATGTTGTAATTAAAGCACATCAGCCAACAAAACCACATAAGTCTTGCCTTAGGAAGTTGCGAATACTTGGGAAACAAACAAACAGATTAAAAATGTCATAGATTTATGGGGGAGTGCCGGCTTTTTAATTTGGGGGGTTTGGAGGAAACAAACGCAGCATCTAAAGGCTCACTTTCCCCAGTTCGTACAAAACGTTGAACTCTTCCTTATATGAAAGAAAGGCTGGAGCTAATTGCCCAGCGCCTTTTTCTTGTGCAACGTTAAAATCGTGAAGAATAAGAATGTAATTATTGTTGGCTTTGATTCACTATTATTTTTTAAATTCCCGACTGCCAGATCTCCGTTTAAATGCTGCAACTGACCAACTTCTAGTGGAAGCTCTTTTCGGCTAAATATATCATGAAAACAGAACACGGGTCTCAGTCCAGCAAGGTCTGCTGCGCAAGCCCCACTGAAATGAACGCGAACTCTGCGAGAGCCGCCTCTCTCCCAGGCTGCAAGTTGCATCGCGTTAGAAACGGATCCCTGCTGCGCTCCTTACCAAAGTTACTTTGGGGAAAACGTTTCTTTTCCGAACCGCTTTCAGTCTTATTTTTGCGCTTCCTGAAAAGCGTGGGGCATGGGGAATAGAGAGCAGGATGCAGACTGACAAACCGAAATTCCTTCAAGTCTCAGGGATTTCAGTGAGATGGGTAAAGAGTGGCAACTACTCGGCTCTCCCCTTTGAAGGGGCTTCGCTCTGGGTGGGCCGCTCCCAGGACATTTTCCTGCTCCCCACAGCCCTGTCCCTGCCTGAATCACCCAGGGAAATTGCGCGGAAGCTTCCAGGAAATGAAACGCGACCCAAGCGGCTGCTTTGCAAATTCTGCGGAGGCTGAACTGGTCAGTGGGGTGGGCGCCCAAAGAGGCAAAGGTGAGGAAAGCAACTGTTGGCCCAGCAGCGCCCTTCTCTGCTGGGTGCGCAATGCCTCCAGCGTAAGGCGTTGGTGTTGTAAATATTAATATTAATATTATTAAGCGCATCAAATAGGTTAGCGCTCCCCACAACTCGCTTAAACCAAGGAAGGAAAGGCGAGAGGTTGGAGATGGGGACGCGGGGGGCGCTTGCTCTCCTTAGAGACTGAAAGAGAGAGCGATCCCCCAAAACGCGCTTCCTTGAAACGGATGGGACTTGCGCGCAGAGCGATCCTAGGCGGGATGGCGACTAAGCCAGCCATCCCCACTTAATGCCAGGAGGCTTAACTTCCCCAGTCGGGCTGCTTAGGAGGAGAATGTGCAACGTGGCTAGCTAGGATCGGGGGCTAAGAGGCAACTCGGGCTGCCTGAGCTCCGAAGGGAGATGCGGGTTGCCAAGCGCAAAGGTGGCTCCTCGCTGCCTCGCGCTTCGGGCGGCCCTCCTAGCAGCAACAGCCCCGGTCGGAAAGGCTGAAAGGCCGGGGACTAACAGGGAATCGCCGCCCGCCGTCCCTCCTTCTCCAAGCTAGGCGCTCCGCTTTGCAGCCGGGCTGTCTACACGGACTGGTTCCTTCGGAGCCATTTCAGTTGGAAATCCAAACCAAGTAGAGGAGGAACAAAAGAGCCACTTGGAACCTGTTGCCGAAAGTAACTCCGGATCGAGCAGCGTCTTTGGAGCAGCTGGCCAATAGGACTGTATAAAACCCAACTGTCTAGATCCAGATTAACCAGGTTGATTAATCTAAGGTTGGGGAGCGCACGATGGGCCCGAAGAAAATAGGGATTTAGCAGCCTGTGGAATTCATCCCATGCACCTGGGACTTGATGACGAGCACGTTAATAATTGTAATAATAACAACAATAAATTGGGTTTCTGATATTTATTTAATCGACTATTTTATTTTCGGGTAAGGAGAATGAAAGGGGTCCGTGTGTTTGTGTGACGCGCGAAGGGAGCAAAACACAGAAACAACCACCCCCAAAAGCTTTTTCCAAAAAGACGCTTGGAAGTTTCTCTTTTAGTTCTCTTTTTCTCTCCACCCGTGTGGGGTACGAAAACGGGCTGGAGCCGAAGCCCTCCCCGCTCCTCCTCCTCTCTCTAAAGCTGACGCCGTGGTCCCGATTACTCGCGAAGCAAATTCGCGCTGGATTCAACAGGCTCCCAAAATGACCGCCGCAAACGCGCGCAGCACCGCCTCTCTCGGACAGCGAAGGGCGCAGAACTTCCCGGCGACCAGCATTTGAGCGGCCATTCCCACGAGACGGGGCATCTCCCGGGTTGGGGAAGCGCGCGGCGAGCCCCGCGGGGAGCCTCTCTGTCCGTCCCTCCCTCCCCCTCCTATGAGTCACCTGCCTTGATTAGCATATTAGTCTCCACGTGACGACGTTCGGCGCAGAGGCCGAAAGGCAAGCTTGGCGACGGAGCGCCGCTCACAACGCCCCTGCGCTCGCGGCGGCGAGAGGCGAGGCGCGAAGGAGGACGCCGGAGCGCGGGGCGCCAATGGAGCCGCTCGGAGCGACCGCGCCTCGGCCAGTTCCATGGCGAGCGGGGAGGCGGCCACAAGGCAGCACGTACACACGCCACATACAAGTGTCCAGCTCCGTCCCTGTCCGCCTCGGCAACCCCCACCCCGCAGCCCGGTCCAGCCGAAGGGGGAGGCTGGAGCTGGGCCCCAGCCAGCTGTCCGCGCCCCCGGCCCTGGGAGAAGAGCCAGGCAGGCGAAAGGCTCCCCCCGCCCGCTTGACCCCGCCAGGCCCGCGCCTGAACTTTTCCCTCAGCGCTTGCTCGCTGGCCCGCGGGCGGGCGAGCCGAGGCGGAAGGGGCGCGTGCGCGGACTTGGCGCGCGGAGGTTCGGCGCGTTTGGTTCTGCCGCTTCCCTCCCGCCAAAAGGAAAGGGGAAAAAAATCCCGAAAGCTTGGCTCTTCTCTGGCTTCTGAAGGGAGGGAGGGAAGTCTAAGCTATTGTTTCTGAATAGAGGAAAATGGGGGCAGGACGTCTTTGTCCAGGCGCCCCCCACCTCCTGAAGAGAGGGGTCCGTGCGAAAGGAGCGGCGGGGTCGGGGCCGCCTCTCGTTATAACAAGACTGGCGCACGTTACGGAGGATCCCCGGAGCCATTCCTGTCTTTGGGGGCGGGGGAAGTGCCAAACGGGAGTCAGTCGGCGGCGGCGGAGTCAAAGCAGGGCCGGCCTAGATTTCCAGGGCAGCAAACGTGGCGGGTGGGGCGTTTCTCTCCTCTCCCCCCCCCCCATCCTCGGCCGCATCCGTTACCTAGTTTTGCTTTGGCTCAAACTCTTTTTCGACATAAAGGATGAAATCCCACCCTCACTCCCACGGGGGCGGGAGGAAACACAAGAAACCAGAGCGAAGTTTTTGTGCGTGCGCGCGCGGTGCTCGTTGCACAAGGCAAGGCCTGGAATCGGGGGAGGGGGGTCCTCCTCCTTCCCCCTCCTCTCTTGAGATTTTCAGATCCCGGCGGGTCTCCCCGGGATCGATCCTTTACCGCGCCAGCAGCAGAAGCAGCAGCCGAACTCCTCGGGCAATTTCCTCTCCACGTCCCCCGATTCCTGGCCACTCGGGGAAGACGCCCCTCTTCCACGCCAACCCCACCCCCCGCCCCAGATCATTGGTTTCCTTCTCCCCGCGGTGCACACTCCCGAGGGGCCACCTTTGGACCACGATGTTTGATCTCTCTCTCGCTTTCCATCCGCTTCTCGGAACCCCCCGATTTCGTTGCCTGTTCTCCCCCCCCCCGCCTCCTTTCTTTCGGCTCAGGAGCGGCCTCGACTGAACTCCGAAGGCGGCGGCGGCGGCGGGCGCGATTTCGCCCAGTCACTCGGGAGCGCGCGGTTCCTTCGCGCTCTCTAACTCACACGCCCTCTCTCCCCACACCCAGAAATAGAGCAGTAGTGGGGCTGTAAGTCGGGGCAGGAAAAGGGAGGGAGGGAAGGAGCGAGGAGCCGAGCCCCCGAAAGAGTGGAAAGCCCACGGGAGCTCCTAACACACGGCGCGGCTCCGCTTGCTCGGTCTCTATCTCTCTCTCCCCTCCCCCCTTTCCCCACTTCTGTCTCTCCCCCCCCCCCGCGCGCCCGGTTTCTCTCCCTCGCTCCGCCACCCTCCCTTCCGCTAAAGTGCACCGCTCCAGCTTGGAAGTGTTGCAAATCGGGCGGCACAGAAAGTGGCATTTCTCCAGTCTTTGGGAGGCCAATTTCCTTCCGACTCGAGCAGCCGCGCGAGTAAAACACGATCCAAGCGGGGTTGGGAAGATCGGCGAGCCCAGGCGCGGCCAGCGCGGTTTCCTCGCTTGCCCGGTGCCGGGCGAACGCTCGTCCCCTTTGGGCGGGTCGCTCCCCGCCTGCGCCGCGCCGGACTTTGCAGCCGCCGCTCGTCCACTTCGGGCCTTCGCCGAAGAGCCACACTTTGCGCCTCCTCCTCCTCCGCCGCCTGCTCCACAGCAGCAGCAGCAGCAGCAGCAAGAAGTCGAAGGGTTTGTGGAGAGAGATTGCGCTGTCCTCCTGCCTGCTCTTGGTGGTGCTTGGCGTTTTCCTTTTTTATTTTTGTCTGAGGATAAAAAATATATATGGGATTCTGATGTTGGGCCAAATTCTCTCCACCGTCATGGTACGTGCCGTGGAAATCAATAATTTCCTCTCTGATTAATACTTTCCCTCCGAAGCAGCGGCGGACAATCCCGCCTTTGTGCTCGGCCTGCCAGAGCCCGGCCGCCGCCGCCGCCGCCGCCCCTACCCGGGGGCTTCGACTTTGCAAAGTAACAGGCGAAATCAAAGCCTCCTTCGGGTCGGGGTGTGGCTAACCCTGGAGGCGCGCGAAGAGGGAGGTGGCGGCCGGGATAGTCAGGATGGGCGAAGGTCACCACCGGGTCGAAACCGCTGCTGCTTTCTCTGCGAACAAAGAACAAATTGGGGGTGGGGGTGCCGGAGGGTCCCCCTTCCTCTCCCTGGACTCATGTTTCCCCAATGGCGACAGAAAAGACGCAGAGAGAACCAAACCTAGAGGTCCCCCTCCCCAAATACCCGCGCCTTTTTGAAGCGGTGTCAGGTCAAGCAAGTCCACAGGTGCCCCTCCGGCTTTTCCTTTCCTCTCCTCCCCCCGTTTTGTACAAATCGTGTCTTTAACAATTGTCAGCTTTGCGCAAGGGATCCGCGCCCGCCGTTATCTTACCCCCAAAATAGGGGAAGAGGGCGACCCAGAGCGAGAGAGGCCAAAGGCCCTCTCCTTCCCTGGTAGGAAGTTCTCGGAAGCCGCTTGGAGGAAAGTCCTTACTTAGGTTGCCGTTGTCGTCGCCGTTCCATTTATTTATTGCTATTATTTCGCGCCGCGCGGTGCTTTTGCGAGCGGCAAAAAGAGGTCGCTGCCCGGAGGAGCTTACAGTTGATACTTCGGCCGTCGGGGAAAGAAAGGGTGAGGGAGAGACGGGAGAGGAGCGGAGCAGCAGCGGGGCACCGGGGGATGAGCGTGAGCGCAGGTACCGCCGCGAACCCGCCAGGGCTCCCTTCGCTGCGCGCGCGTGAACGTGTGAACGAGGCTCCAGCGCGATCCGTGTTCCCTCAACTTGTTGGTGGAACTGCTTAGCCATCTTAAATGCCCCCAGCCCACTAGGCAGTGACGTGCTTGTAGCCTCCAAGACTCCTCGAACTTAGATACCGGCCCTTGCTTCCGAACTTGGTGCTGTGGGGGCCAAAGCGATCTTTGGGGATCTTCTTCGATCGCGCGCTCTCTCTCTCTCGTCCCCACCTCCCCTCCCCCCGCGCGACTTTTCCTCTGTGCCAAAACAGAAAAGCTCCAAGCAGCGCAAGAGGCCTCACGAAGCGGTGAGGAGATAAAGTCCAGAACCGTCTCTTGGGGCGATTCCAGGGTTTTATTTCAGACTTTTTGCGCCTGTCTCTATCTCGAGAGAAAAAGTAACGGCGCCTTGAAAATGGAAGCGGGGGAGGAGAGGGACCCCCGCGGCGCTCTGTGCGGGCACTGCGCGGGCAGCCCTTGGGAGGCGAAAGGGGTGCGCGCCTCGGAGTGCGCCCGTCGGCAGGCCCCGGATAGCGGGGAGGACCGCCAAGGACCCCGGTCTGCTGGGAAGTTTTCCTGCGCAAGGAACGGGAGCCATGGCAAAAGCTGGCGCAGGAGAACTTCCCGGCGCGGCAAGTCCTGCGCAAAGATCTGGAGAGCGCCGCACTTTCCCTTTCCTTGCGCAAACACAAGAAGTTTTGCTTTGTTCTGCTGGTTGAATGCCAGCGCCTTCGGATCTGCAGAAATGGATTTTACTTTTATTGCACAAGGTGTTTAAAAGAACTATTTGGGGGGGCTGTATTTGAGTAGAGGAAGAAGGAAATTGGCTCTAAAAACAGCTGCTTGAGGTTCTTTTTAGACTCTCTTTAAAGCAACTTTTTGGGGTAAATTTTTGGGTGCACCTCCTTTTTCTATTTCCCTTCTGCTTTAACGTTTTTTATTCCGGTAAGGCAGTCAGGACTACGGAGGAGATGCAGCCGAAAGCGTTTGATCATCGCAGCAGCTGAATTAAATATTGCTTTCTTTCCTTCCTGGGAACCGGGAGATTTCCAGGAGACAGTGTAGGCCGGCTGGGTCAGCTTTTGCACGCGAGGCTCCGCAGTGTTAGCGTGTGAAGAGGATTGTACCAACAAGGCCTGACAGCTGAACCGCAGTTATTTCAGTTTTACTTTATTTTTAAAAGGTGATATCTCTTAATAATAATAATAATAATAATAATAATAATAATAATAATAGTAATAATAATAATTCCAATAAGTTTGCTAAATTATTGAGTCAGTGATACCTCCAGGACAGGGCTTTGTGGGTGCACAAGTCCAGGACTCTCACTCAGCAGAAAGAGCAGGAGGGCTCTTTTTTCCTAAAGTAAGGCAAGTTATACACTGAATAGCCTTCCCCCCATCCACCCATACCCAAGACTATTATATCGAAAATATAATATCTACCAAATTGCACTGCTGGAGGATTCCTCCCCCCCCCCCATTACATAGCAACAATTGGGCCAGCTTTGGAGATGGCTGACTTTGTGGCAGGTAGGCAGCAAGTGACTTCCTGTGCCATCTTGCAAGTGTGCACTTCTGTCACATTAACAGACGTAGGACCAATGCATTGTTCAGTTTTTGGGCAGTGCTTTGTTAGGTTGTAGGACAAACTGAAGGGAAACATACCGTTTGATGGTGATTTTACAGTGCACTTGTGTACGAGTAGAAGGAAGCCCCTTTGAGTTTATTCCTAGGTAAGTGTGTTTAGGGTTGCAGCCTTCATCATGCTTGGTTGGGAGTATAAACCCTACTGAAACTCCTTGGGTTTTTGTTCTCAGGGAGCAGGTCTGCAGGATTGTTGCTTGTCAGGGATGATGGCTGATGTGTCCATCCATCCCACAAACAGCGGCCTCCATTTTGCAAACAAGAGAGAGAGAGAAATGTTGTGGCAAAATGTCAAGTTTCACCTAAAGGAGAAGGACTGTAAGGCTGTGGACACACTTTCTTCTAAGCAATTGGTATTTTAGGAAGGGGGTTAAAAGGCACTTCACAGAAACCAAGCAGTCCGGGTGTAGAGAGATGGTCATCTGAATGACAAAGAAAACATGGTGCCTCTAATTCTACCTGTGGAACAAAGCTTCTGGCTTCCTGCTGGGAACATCTTGTTTGTACTTGGGCAAGAGACTTATTTGGCCACTTTTCTCTCCCAGCCTCCTGGGAATCTTAGCTACCTGAGGAACCAGTTGGCGTGTGGGCGTCACTCTAGGTGTGGATATAATGATTATTATTAATAACAGCCACATTGCAATGACCTGACCTTTTGCATGTATCTGTTTGGGACAGAATCCTCGTCATTATCACCATCACCATTTATTAATTAGTGTTTGTTGGTGGAAGTAGATAGATAGTTAAGTCACACAGGCCTATCTGCTAGCAAATGCGTTGCCACATCTGCTGTTGACTTTGGTGGTAGAAAGCCAGCAAAACACAGTACAACTGGCCTACAATGTGTGAATTGCAGAAGGGCTTGTTTGAAGCTCCACACCAGTTGGTGCAAAAATGGTAGACACTGAGTCATCTTGATTGGTGTCAGTGAATGCGAAACGACAGCAGACTCACAGTTTAGTTGGATTTCTAATTTTGGAATAAACTACTTATATGAAATCTGCAATGTGTCCTACAACCCTTTAACCTCAAGGAAACAGCTCTTTGGTTTAACAGAATGTCAGAAAAAATTCAGATGTCACTCCGGCTAATCAGTTTTATTATGCATGTGTGTCCTGTCCCATCATCATCTCTAAGCCAATGCCAAAGGGGGGGGGAGAGAAGAGCAACCCTCATGTCCTCAAGTTTCCCATCTGTGCTCCAAATTCATTCACCAAAGGCATGATTAAGGTTTGGATGCAACTCTCAAAGAATTCTAGGGTGGCATTCACATCACCACCTTAGAGCTCAGTGAAGCTGCCCCCCCCTCATGTTTCACAACCCTCTCTCCCCAGATGTTCACATCAGCACAGCTTCATTTGTGTCAGATTCGTTTTTGTTTGTGTACAGACCCGAGGATGCTGACAGAGTGGGGATGTCTTTACCCCATGCAAAGGTGTTTGTTACCTTGGTTAGAAATGAATTAGGCACGGTGTAATTGATGTGAAGCTGGTTTGAGAAACAATGCATCAAACAGTAGCATTTGATAGCAAAGTATAGGATACATTGTGCATTGTGGCTAATGTTTTGTGGATGCAGATTTAAAAGCCAGCACTGGAAAGTAAAATTCGAGCAGCAGTTGTAGCATACAAAAATAATTTAACATCTTTCTTGGGCAATTCCAAGCCTGTTATTCCAAGAAGAAAGGCCTCTGGTTTCTTTATAAATGTATATTTCAACATTTTTTAAAATTCATTATAAATCTTTTCCCAGAAGTCTTTCACCTTGGGACAGGTCCACCACATATGATAAAAGGTTCCTTCCTTTTCTTTACATTTCCAACATAGATTGTCACAGTTATGATATACAGTATCTTTGCTAATTTACAGGGGTCAAATACCATCTGTACATCATTTTCATTATATTTTCCTTTAACACAGTACATGCAGTGAACTTGATCCCTTTCTTCCACAATCTTTCCCAATCCTCCAACATTATATTATGTCCTACATCTCTTGCCCAGTCTATCATCATAGATGCAGCAAGTTATCAGTAAACACAGCCCTAGAAGGAATTTCAGGTGACTTCCATCTCACTCAGAATTGGGGGAGTGGTGGGGGTAAGATATAATGATTGTTTAGATGTATGTATGTTACAAGGCCTGTTAGCTTTATGATCCCTTAGAAAGTTTCGGAGAGGCTAGCCATACACACGCACAAAACCCCAAACCCTTCTGTGCCATTGGAGAGGATCCTGGAGGGCACTTTTTGGTATTATGCAGTGCCACTCCTTAGGAGACAAATGTCTTGGGCTGACACATGTGTGCTACACTATAGATTGCATGTTTGTTCTCTACAGGATGAAATATATGGGGAGATGACTCTGTGGCACTGCTGAGTTGACACCAAGCTCAGGTTTGCATAGCCGTTCTGTTCATTTGTCGATTGCATGCCACTGTAGACCAAAGCATAC